AGAACTCCCATGACCAACAGGAAATACTGGGTTTGGTATGCACTGACTTTTGAGTTTGGGAGTTGTAGTTCACCTACATCCAGAGAGCATTGTGGACTCAAACAATGATAGTTCTGAACCAAACTTGGCACGAGTACTCAATAAGCTCAAATGTGAACACTGGTGGAGTTTGAGGAAAAGAGACCTTGACATTTGGGAGTTGTAGTTGCTGGGATTTATAGTTCAGCTACACTCAAAGAGCATTCTGAACCCAACCAACAATAGAATTGGGTCAAACGTGGCACACAGAACTACCGTGACCATCAGAAAATACTGGGTTTGGTGCACCAACAGAATACATTGGACAGCTTGGTGGGCATTGACCTTGAGTTTTGGAATTGTAGTTCACCTACATTCAGAGAGCACTGTGGAGTCAAACAATGATAGATCTGGACCAAACTTGGCACGGATACTCAATATGGCCAAATGTGAGCACTGATGGAGTTTGGGGGGAAATAGACCTTGATATTTGGGAGTTGTAGTTGCTGGGATTTATAGTTCACCTACAATCAAAGAGCATTCTGAACCCCACCAACAATAGAATTGGATCAAACTTCCCACATAGAACCACCGTGACCATCAGAAAATAGTTGAATAGACCATCAGAAAATAGTTGAAGTCCAAAACACCTGGAGGGCCAAAGTTGGCCCACGAGTGGGATACAGGAACCCAAAATGGCATCTTGAATACCAAAATTCCTCATAGGCATATTCGTATTGGGGGGAATACAGACCTAACAACCACCAGAGGAAGGCAGAAAGACTCTCCTCTTCCTCTTCTTTGCTTGTACTCGAGGTGGAGCTCTAAAGATGCAAAAGCAAGGAGAAAAGCTGATGAGCTTCTATACATTTGCATATAAATAAGAAACATTCCTTTAAGACTCTGTTTAGCACAGACTCTAATAACAATACATAACAAAATTTGAAAAAAGTTTATGTCTTGGTTTGAAAGTGTGTTTTCCTGCTTAATTGTGCGGTCCCTTACATTGAAAGTGGTTGTTCTACTTCCAGAAACTTTGTTTTGTGGCTGCCATGTTGAATTGGGTTGTTGTAGGTTTTTCGAGCTATATGGTCATGTTTTAGAAGCATTCTCTCCTGACGTTTCGCCTGCATCTATGGCAGGCATCCTCAGAGACCTTACAGCCTTTGAGGTTGCCTGCCATAGATGCAGGCGAAATATGATAGAAATCATAGAATCATAGAGTTGGAAGAGACCTCATGGGCCATCCAGTCCAACCCCATTCTGCCAAGCAGGAATATTGCATTCAAATCACCCCCGAAAGATGGCCACCCAACCTCTGTTTAAAAGCTTCCAAAGAAGGAGCCTCCACCACACTCTGGGCAGAGAGTTCCACTGCTGAACGGCTCTCACAGTCAGGAAGTTCTTCCTCATGTTCAGATGGAATCTCCCCTCTTGTAGTTTGAAGCCATTGTTCCGTGTCCTAGTCTCCAGGGAAGCAGAAAACAAGCTTGCTCCCTCCTCCCTGTGGCTTCCTCTCACATATTTATACATGGCTATATCTCCTCTCAGCCTTCTCTTCTTCAGGCTAAACATGCCAGCTCCTTAAGCCGCTCCTCATAGGGCTTGTTCTCCAGACCCTTGATCATTTTAGTTGCCCTCCTCTGGACACATTCCAGCTTGTCAATATCTCCATTTAATTGTGGTGTCCAGAATTGGACACAATATTCCAGGTGTGGTCTAACCAAGGCAAAATAGCTATCATGCCTCCTCTCATGATCTGTCAAAATTACTACAAATGGAAGAGTCTTATATTAATACAAATAGTCTAGGCAGGGAGGCTGCCTCTTACCACTTGTTTTGCAGACATGAAGGTGCAAATGAAGATTCCTAGGGATACAAGAGCTATGGAGGCGTATTTGGAGGCGGTATATCTGTAGCAGAAAGAAGGGACAAGGAGGTTTCATCAAGACCAGATCACATGAAGTCGTTCCTAAATCTAGAACTTCCAAAGTGGTGTTCATGACAATATACTGTATATACTCGAGTATAAGCCTAGTTTTTCGGCCCTTTTTTTAGGCTGAAAAAGTCCCCCTCGGCTTATACTCGAATCAAGGTTATTTATTATTATTATTATTATTATTATTATTATTATTATTATTATTATTATTTTCATTTTCATTTCATTTATTATTTTATTCCATTTATTATTATTATTCCATTTATCATTTTACTCTATTATTACACATTTATTATTTTACTGTATAATTGTTGTCATTTTATTTATTTATTTTATTTACAGCTTTTATATTCCGCCATTCTCACCCCGCAGGAGACTCAGGGTGGATTACAGTGTACACATATATGGCAAACATTCAATGCCAATTTTTGACTTACAAACATATACAGACAAAGACAGAGGCTATTTAACTTTTTCTGGCCGCCAGGGGAGCTGTTGCTTTCATCGTCCATCTGCGACGCTGGTGAAGCACTTCTGCATTCCCCGCATGCTTCCCTTCTGGAATACTTTGCTGGAGTCTTCTTTATGGCCTCATAAATCAGTTAATTTAGCTTCCCCACACTTTAAGGTGGTACCTTATTTTCCTACTTGACAGATGCAACTGTCTTTTGGGTTGCAAAGGTCGACAACAGGCTACACACAATTGGTTGGAAACCCATTCCAACCTGGGCTGGCTTCGAACTCATAACCTTTTGGTCAGAGTGATCTTAATGCAGTTGACATTAGCCTGCTGCGCCACAATCCCGGTGACATTGATGAATTCATTATTTTACTCTTTTTATTATTATTGTTATTATTACATTTGTTATATTGGTCTCTTTATTATTATTGGAAGGATATGTAAGCACATTTACATTGAAGAAGGTAAATAATCATTTAATCAGAGTTGGACAGCCTTTTCTTAAATTACCATTTTTGTAAATATTCAAAAATATATAATAACCTACTGAATCCTCAATTAGTGTAATTTAATTGGTATCTATTTTTATTTTGCAATTTATCAGTAGCTGCTGCATTTCCCACCCTCGGCTTATACTCGAGTCAATCCGTTTTCTCAGTTTTTTGTGGTAAAATTAGGTGCCTCGGCTTATATTCGGGTCGGCTTATACTCGAGTAGACATCTGCCCTTGCGCTGTGCTATTCTGCTGCTGAATATGCATGCCCAGTGTGGAACACACCTCACCACACTAAAACAGTGGATGTGGCTCTGAATGAGACATGCCGCATTATCACGGGGTGTCTGCGCCCTACACCACTGGAGAAATTACGCTGCTTAGCCGGTATTGCACCACCTGACATTCGCCGGGAAGTAGCAGCCAATAGTGAAAGGACCAAGGCAGAGACATCTCCAGCTCATCCCCTGTTTGGGTATCAGCCAGCACGTCAATGACTTAAATCAAGAAATAGTTTTCTAAGATCTACAGAGACACTCGCTGGAACACCTCAGCAAGTGAGAGTCCAAAAGTGTCAGGCTCAAACCCAGAACCTCAACCAATGGCTGATACCAAATGAGAGACTCCCCCCTGGGCACACAGAAGACTGGGCAACTTGGAAGGCGCTGAACAGACGGCGCTCTGGCACCACGAGATGCAGAACCAACCTTCAGAAATGGGGTTACAAAGTGGAATCCTCGATATGCGAGTGTGGAGAAGAGCAAACCACTGACCACCTGCTGCAATGCAACCTGAGCCCTGCCACATGCACAAGGGAGGACCTTCTTGCAGCAACACCAGAAGCACTCCAAGTGGCCAGATACTGGTCAAAGGACATTTAACCAACTACCAAACTCACAAATGTTGTATTTTATCTGTTTGTTTGCTTTGTTCTGTTAGAAATGTAATATAATTTGACTGGTTAATCTGACACAACAAATAAATACTTGAGTATATACGGTACATTATTCCTGCAATCAATATATCCACCTTATAAATTATCACCATCTTAGGACAGCTACTTTTTTGGGCTGACAAATTCCAATATCTCGCAGCCACTGAAACAAAGGCAACCTTTCTAAGCTACCCTTAAAATATGTGTATTTGCAGCAACCGCAGAACAAAGGCAACTCACCTCTTCTTCAGAATGATGATGCCCAGCGCCATGTTGGCGATCAGAGATCCCTGAAGGCAGGAAAAAGTTTTGTGGTGACAGATGTTTGGAGAGGAAATGGAAAGAAACATAGACAAGGTGAGTTAGAAGGGCAAAAGGGTGAAGAGAAGGCCCCTGATTATGCCCAGGTGGGAAAAAAGGGACAGAGCAAAGGTTTGTATGTCATAAGGCCCCTGCGAGGCAACGGTAGAAAGAAACCAATTGGGATTTCTACATTTCCTTTTCCAAACACATGCAGAAGAGGAATATTTGTCCAAGGTTTCCCACCCTTCTTCTGAAAGACATCCCCAGCCTTGTGTTTTCAAACTAAAAAGACTATAAATCAGGCAGAGGGCAATCTTCAGCCTTCCAGGTGTTTTGGACTTCAATTCCCACAACTCTTAAAGGCCAGTACATTGAAAGACAATGTCACCGGGATTGTGGCGCAGCTGGCTGAGTGTCAGCTGCAATAAGATCACTCTGACCAAAAGGTTATGAGTTCGAAGCCAGCCCGGGGTTGGAGTGGGTTTCCAACCAATTGTGTGTAGCCTGTTGTCGACCTTTGCAACCCGAAAGAAACAGTTGCATCTGTCAAGTAGGAAAATAAGGTACCACCTTAAAGTGTGGGTGTTGGGGCCCAGCCTCTGTGTGAACCTGAGCCCCAATCTCTGTGTGAACCTGATTCTTTGATTGTATTTCCAACTGAACAAGCCACTGAATACGTTTCTCTCCCTGATAGTGTTGAAACTGTTGTTGATGCTGAGCTCAGTGGCGAGGAAAGTGAAACCAAACAGCTCGATGAAAATGTTTTGGAATCCAGCCGTGATAGCTCTCCAGAGGAAATCACACCTGGGTTTTTTTATGAGGACCGAAGGGAACAGATAGCTAGAAACAGGAGTGATTCACAGTTTCTACGAAGGTCAAATAGATTACAGGAGAGACAGGCCCAGGCTTCAAAGCCAAGGGGCGTTTCAAGGAATAGTTTCTTTGGTTTAAGGGGCCCACCCCCGGTTGTCTCGTTAGATCAAGCAACGTTTTGGACTGCGGCTGTGCCTTGCCAGAATTCCTGTGTTCCATGGCTGGCAATCCCAGAGGCTTCTAGTTTTCAAGTACACGGTTAGTGAGATGCTAACAGGTTCCTGGGTTTTGTACTATGGTTTTTGGAATTTTGCTCAAGTTCAGAGATTTTCCTGACTGCTGTGTTTTTATTGTGGATTTTTGACTTTGCATTTACATTTCTTTTGTAACCAAGTTTTCATCAATAAAGAAGGATTGTTTTTCCTACAGTCCAGTGTGGTGGATTTAATCTTATGGTCTTGTTTCCTGATCTGGGATGCAACTGTGGGGAGGCTAAATTAACTGATTTATGAGGCCATAAAGAAGACTCCAGCAAAGCATTCCAGCGAGGAAGCATGCGGGGAATGCGGAAGTGCTTCATCAACGTCGCAGAAGGACGATGAAAGCGACAGCTCCCCTGGCGGCCAGAAAAAAGTTAAATAGCCTCTGTGTATGTCTGTATATGTTTGTATGTCAAAAATTGGCATTGAACATTTACCATATATGTGTACACTGTAATCCGCCCTGAGTCCCCTGCGGGGTGAGAAGGGCGGAATATAAAAGCTATGTTAAATTTATCAACATAGACAGTAGTTAGAAATATTTTGAATGAGTCCACATGTCTGTTAAGAGACTACTACTCTCAGTTATTCTCATGGGCATTGAGGCAATTTCCTTGCAAATCTAGATACTGAACCATGGCTGTCCTAATTGAACAAAATAGCAAGACTGTACTTTTATCCCTATCATTAAAGTCAACTACAGGCTCTGGACATTTTATCCCTATCATTAAGCATTTATCTCTTGGTGTTTCGTGTAATTTTCAATATAACAGGGGATGCACAGTGTCCTCAACCGTTTATTTGTTGTCCATCAATACAGAATTGTTGTCCTCTGAGAACTTTGTTATATTTATCTCCGTTAAAGATAGAATATTAGGAGTGGAAGGGGCTATCTCATCAGCCAAAAGCAGGCCCACACTTTCCATTGAAATACTAATTTATTTATTTATTTACTTTATTTCTATACCGCTTTTCTCAGCCCTTAAGCTTAAGCGGCTGAGGGGGAAAAGGAAAGAGCCTGAGGCTGTTAGGAATTGTGGGAGCTGGAGTCCAAAACACCTGGAGGACCAAAGTTGGCGCATGTCTGCCATAGAGTCACCCTGGACGACCTAGGCGTCCCTAGCGAGTGCATTTTAATCAAATCCATGAATAATTAAATCCACAAAAGTGAAAGCCTCTAATGTGGAGGGTCCTACAATTCCTAACAGCCTCAGGCCCCTTCCTTTCTGCTTAAGCGTGCTTTCTGCTGCTCTAAACACTGGGACGCAATGGAGCAATTAAGTTCAAACTTAAGTTCAAACATGGACTTCAAATGGTAGTTGAGAATTGTGGGAGTTGAAGTCCAAAGCACCTGGAGGGCCAACGTTTGCCCATACCTTCTATAGAGCCATCTGACTTTAGAGATTTATTATTTTATTTATTTACAGTATTTATATTCCGCCCATCTCACCCCGCACGGGACTCAGGGCGGATTACAATATACACATACATTAGCCGGTCGGAGTCCCTCTACGGAGGTAGAGAAGATCGGGATACAAAAGTTTTAAGTAATAAATAAATATACATGGCAAACATTCAATGCCACAGGCACACAACATATATGGACAGACACACAGAGGCTATTTAACATTCCAGCTTTTTCATGAGGATATTTTGGTCACCAGGGAGCTGTCGCTTCACCGTCCATTTGTGACACTGATGAAGTACTTCCTCATTCTTTGCATGCTTGCTGGAGATTTGTATGGTGTCGTAAATTAGCCTCTCCACATAAGTGGTACCTAAATTTCCTACTTATTATTTATTTATTTACGGCATTTATATGCCGCCCTTCTCACCCCGAAGGGGACTCAGAGCAGCTTACAATATATATTTTCATACAATATATTATATTATTAGCATAGTACAATATCAGTATTATATATTACTATATTGCACTATACCATTATATTGTAATATTATTAGTAATATTAAATTCAATGTAAATATATAATTATAATTATAATATTGTATTATTATTACTAGTATTATATTGTATTACACTATAACATTACAAATATTACACGTATATACAATATACTATATTATATTATTATTAAAGAAAATATGGAAGTTAGTAAAGACAGATGCAACTGTCTTTTGGGCTCCAAAGGTCAATAGCAAGCTACACAAATCAGTCGGAAGCTTACTCCGACCCGGGCTGGCTTCGAACTCATGACCTTTTGGTCAATAGTGAAAATGCCTGGGATGCCCAACTCCTGTTCTTCTTTATACCCAGAAAAAAGATTCAAGGTAAGACTCACAGATCTAAATATCATATGCAGCGGCATTGCAATATTCAAGTTGAGGGCATAGTTGTTCACCACACTGACTGTGAAGAACATGGCCACCATGATGAAGTAGTACCTGGAAAGCAAGCATAGAGGCAATAATGTGGGGGCGGAGGCAGTTTGGGGGGGGGGATTAGAATTGGAAAATGTAGGTGCGTCCCTTCCCTCCCACCAGGTTTGGTAACATCACCATACTTGATTGGGATAACAGGCCGTTTCCTTCCAAAGTTCGCTTCGAAGATGAAACCCTCCACAGCTATGAAGAAGAACTGGGCAAATGTCACTAAATTCCCACATCCTGGAAATTCCCTGAAAGAGAGAGAAAGAGAACGACAGGGGGGAGGGAGAGGGGGAAAAAAGAGAGAAGAGCAATTTATTTTTGTAGAAATTGCATAAGCTCATTCATGCCCCCAAAATGCCTGAATATCAAGTAAAAAGTGGGTGCTAGAAAATATATCATATGAAAGCTGATTGGCACAACCTGGGGATCACAACCAGACACAGTGAAGACATCTGCTCTTGTGCTTTGCTACTCTGCTACTGAGTACGCATGCCCAGTGTGGAACACATCTCACCACGCTAAAACAGTGGATGTGGCTCTTAATGAGACATACAATATGAATGGGTTCCTTGGTAGACCAGTTAAACACCAATAATCACAACGCCATCTACTGTGAATTGAACAGTCTAAGTTTCCCAGCTTACCTATTTGTTGGACTCATTCATTATCTTATCTGTATAAGTGGATTATTGGTGTTTAACTGGTCTTAATGAGACATGCCACATTATCACAAGGTGTCTGCGCCCTACACCACTGGAGAAATTACACTGTTTAGCCGGTATTGTACCACCTGACATCCGCCGAGAAGTAGCAGCCAATAGTGAAAGGACCAAGGCAGTGACATCCCCAGCTCATCCCTTGTTTGGGTATCAGACAGCACGTCAACAACTTAAATCAAGAAATAGTTTTCTTAGATATACAGAGACACTCGCTGGAACACCTCAGCAAGTGAGAGTCCAAAAGTGGCAGGCTCAAACCCAGAACCTCAATCAATGGCTGATTGATTGAGAGATTTTCTGGGCACACAGAAAATTTCTAATAGCCAGTATTAGGAATTGTGGATGTCAGTGATGTCAGTGCTGAGAGCAGGAATACAACAGCTCTGCAAGTGCAGCATTTTTGCAAATGAAGCAGAGAGTGTTTCGGGATCAGGACATCCTTAGGAAGACCAAGGGGCTTATTTATAAAGCTATTGTCCTCCCAACCCTGCTATACGCCTGCAAAACATGGACTGCCTACAGATGTCACACTCAACTCCTAGAACGATTCCATCACCGTTGCTTACGGAAAATCCTGCAAATCTCTTGGGAAGACAGGCAGACAAAAGTCAGCATGCTTGAAGAAACAAAGATTCTCTCTGCTTCATTAGCAAAAATGCTGCACTTGCACAGCTGTTGTATTCCTGCTCTCAGCACTGACATCATGGATGTCCAAAGAACTTCTAACTGTGCTAAGACACAAAAGAGACATGCACAAGAAGTGGAAAAAGGGAGAAACAACCAACCTGAGCCCTGCTAGTTGCACAATGGAGGACCTCCTTGTGGCAACACCAGAGGCACTCCAAGTGGCCAGATACTGGTCAAGGGACATTTAATCAACTACCAAGTTTGCAAAATTTGTGGTTTTTTATCTGTTTGTTTGTTTTGTTCTGTTAGAAATGTAATACAATGGTCTGGTTGCTGATGACACGATAAATATACTGCAGCGAATAACCGCAAAAGTTCAATTATTTGTACTGGCCAGAAAAACTCTGCACTCCAGACGTTTCACGAAGTATCTGGCACACAAAGTTTATGGGGTAGGACCAGTTTTGCCCAAGTCAGCACTGCACCATTAAATAGGAACACACACTTTCATGCCAGGAACAGGACTTTGTCACTTTTTAGAGCCTGGTTGCCTGGCCATCACAGATTTGGTTGTGTTCTTGTGGTATCAAACAACAGGGTGCTGTTTCTGGGTTATACATGGCTGTTCCTGATTGCTCTTCTAGTGAAAAGCTGTACAACATCGACTAGGGGGGCCACAACTTTGTCCTGGCCAGAGAAAATGTGCTCTCCACATGTTTCATACAGTTTCTTGAACTCAAGCAAAGTTTTTGCTTCCTACTCAAGTGTCACCTTCTTTTAAGGAACTGACCAATCAGGAACAAAAAACTAAAACCCAGGAACAAACCCAGATAAAGAATCCCGTGATTTTTGATATCAGGGATATACAGACATGTGAAGATCCACATATTTGGCGATATTCCTGCACCTGGAAATCTTGCGGTTTTTGCCTTTTGCAGCGATTGCTTCCATGTTTATAGAAACAACATCTGGCAACCCTCCTGTTTGCCGTGGAAGTTCCTGGGATGAAGGTACTGTTTGGACAGACCCTTCCCACCGGAGTGGAAATAATCTATCAGACAGATGACAAGCTATTTAACCTCAGAAGACTGAAAGCCAAAACCAAGGTTACAACAACATCTGTTATAGAACTCCAATATGCTGATGACAATGTCGTCTGTGCGCATTCAGAAGAAGACCTATAAGCCACTTTAAACACCTTCGCCGAAGCATACGAGAAGCTCGGCCTGTCACTGAACATTGAGAAAACCAAAGTGCTGTTTCAGCAGTCACCAGCCAACCCCTCTCCAATGCTAGAGATACAGCTTAATGGTGTAACATTAGAAAATATTACCATTTCCGCTCCCTTGGCAGCCACCTCTCCACCAAAGTCGACATCGACACCGAAATACAACACCGCCTGAGCTCTGCGAGTGCAGCATTTTTCCAAATGAAGAAGGGAGTGTTTAAGGACCGGGACATCCATAGGGATACCAAGGTGCTTGTTTATAAAGCTGTTGTCCTCCCAACCCTGATATATGCCTGTGAAACGTGGACTGTCTACAGACGTCACCTGCAACTTTTGGAACGATTCCATCAGCGCTGCCTCCGGAAAATCCTGCAAATCTCTTGGGAAGACAAGCGGACAAATGTCAGCGTGCTGGAAGAAGCAAAGACCACCAGCATTGAAGCGATGGCCCTCTGCCATCAACTCCGCTGGACCGGCCATGTTGTCCGGATGCCAGACCACCATCTCCCAAAGCAGTTGCTCTACTCCGAACTCAAGAATGGAAAACGGAATGTTGGTGGACAGGAAAAGAGATTGAAAGATGGGCTCAAAGCCCACCTTAAAAACTCTGGCATAGACACTGAGAACTGGGAATCCCTGGCCCTTGAGCGCTCCAGCTAGAGGTCAGCTGTGACCAGCAGTGCTGTAGAATTTGAAGAGGCATGAATGGAGGGTAAAAGAGAGAAATGTGCCAAGAGGAACGTGCGTCAAGCCAACCCCAACCGAGACCTCCTTCCACCTGGAAACCAATGCCCTCACTGAGGGAGAAGATGCAGGTCAAGAACAGGGCTCCACAGTCACCTACGGATCCACAAGAATACTGATCTGAAGACTATCCTACTCGTTCAACGAGGGATCGCCTAAGTAAGTAAGGACAGACCCATGGATGTGTAGCACTTGGTTACGAATCTGTAAATCCAATACAGAAGGCTAGCCAATAATAATAGTTTCTGCACTTCCAAAAAAGGTTCAGAAAGACAACTGAAAGAATGAAAAGGAAACCAAGAAAATACCTGAAAAATAAGAACTCATGGAAAAATGGACACTGAAGGATTCCCAGATTTATGGAAAATCCAGAAACTGGCCACCTCCCTATATAACCTTTCTACCTTCTCAGGTTCAAACTGAATGACATGGTGTCAAGTTCATTACAGAAGAGCTTTACCTCATGTTTTCTGTCACTAAGCCAACACAAGCAGGATATGGACAGCTACACTCACGTAGATAATAAAGAAGGTGTTGTACTCGGTTAGGTCAACAGTTATTCTAGATGGTGTTTTTATTGCCACTTGTAATGCCTCACGTCTGGCAATAGATTTATATGACAACCGGCCGGGTTAGAAGTCAAAGCAGCTCTAAACTCCCAAGACAAAGAAGAAAAACGTGTTTTTGAAAGAAGTGTCCTACAGAAAGAGGAGTCAAGCTAGTGAAATACAGCAAATTCAGAGGGCGGAATACAAAAGACTTCACATCAGGTTGTTAGACAATTTGTGAGAAGGAACAAAGAGAAAGTGAGCTTGTAATAGCTTAGAGATCTAGTATCGGTAACAACAGCCATTCTTCATACCATGATGATATTTCCTCTATTTATAATACGTAGATCATAGGTAGGCCTTTCAACCAGTGTGATATCAACTCCATGGAGATGTAGAAACAATATTACAGGAACCAAAATGCCCTAAAGGCACCAGATCTTGAAAGCAAAGCAGGGCCAGCTCTGGTCAGCACTTTGATGGGAGACTGCCAATGAATCCCAGTTACAGTAGGCTGGAATCAGCCAGGATTTGAAGCTGCAAGGCCATTGAATGCTAATCAAGGTGGCCAATTGCAAATTTACACTTGCCACAAATAGATAAGAGTTCTTTCTCCCACCCTGGACATTATTCCAGAGAAAATGTCTAGTTTCCAACAGATCTCACAACTTCTGGGGCTCCCTGCCATAGATGTAGGTGAAACGTCAGGAGAAAATGCTTCTAGAACATGTCCAGACAGCCCAGAAAACTCACAGCAACCCAAGATTTGGATAATTTTAAAGTACGTAATAGAGGCGTTGAAATAAGTTTAGGATTTTCTCCAAGTTATGAACAAGAAAATAAACTAGTCAAATGTGGGCTAGGCAAAACCACTGTAAGGTGGATCTGTAATTAATTTAGTGAATGAACCCAAAGGGTGATTCCCCCCAATTCTTCCTCTTCAGCCTGGAAAGAAAGGATGAATGGAGTGCCACAGTGTTCTGTCCTGGGCCCAGTTCTGTTCAGCATCTTTATTAATGACTTAGATGAAGGGTCAGAAGGCAAGACCATCAAGTCTGGAGACAGGACCAAATGGGGAGGGATAGCCAATACTCCAGAGGACAGGAGCAGAATTCAAAATGATCTGAACAGATTAGATAAATGATGGGCCAAAACTAATACAATGAAGTTCAACAGGGACAAATTCAAGATACTCCACTTAGGCAGAAAAAGGAAGTGCAAAGATACAGAATGGAAGACAATGCCTGGCTCATCTTTTTTTTACATGCAAAAAAGATCTTAGAGTCCTCATGGGGAGGAAGGGGAACATGAGTCAGAAATGTCATGCAGCAGCTAAAAAAGCCAATGGGATTGTAGCCTGCATCAGTATGAGCCCAGTGCCTAGATCCAGGGAAGTAGTGCTACCCCTCTATTCTGCCTTGGTCAGACCACACCTGGAATATTGTGTCCAATTCTGGGCACCACAATTGAAGAGAGATATTGACAAGTTGGAATGTGTCCAGAGGAGGGCGACTAAAATGATCAAGGGTCTGGAGAACAAGCCCTATGAGGAGCGGCTTAGGGAACTGGGCATGTTTAGCCTGAAGAAGAGAAGGCTGAGAGGAGATATTATAGCCATGTATAAATATGTGAGAGGAAGCCACAGGGAGGAGGGAGCAAGCTTGTTTTCTGCTTCCCTGGAGACTAGGACGCAATGGAACAATGGCTTCAAACTACAAGAAAGGAGATTCCATCTGAACATGAGGAATAATAATAATAATAATAATAATAATAATAACAACAACAACACTTTATTTGTACCCCGCTACCATCTCCCCTGTGGAAGGGCATACGAACAGACTTAAAGAAATGTAAAGTGCTTTGGAGGACAAAGTGCTATGGGTCATTATTCCAGGAAGACTCATTGGAACAGCCACGTCTTCAAGTTCCTCCTGAAGACTGCCAAAGTTGGAGCCTGTCTGATGTCTTTAGGGAGTGAGTTCCAGAGTCGAGGGGCCACCACRGAAAAGGCCCTCTCTCTCYTCCRCACCAATRYCGCCTGRGAHGCTSGTGGGATCGAGAGCAGGCCCSCCRCRCRYGATGAWCYAAGYGATRYRGTGGYTTCHTATARYGAGATGCGGTCYCGCAGGTAGGCGGGTCCCAAACCGTTCAGGGCTTTGTAGGTAAGAACCTGCACCTTGAATTGGGTCCGGTAGATGAATGGCAGCCAGTGGAGCTCCCTGAACAGGAGGGATGACCTCTCTCTGTAAGGAGCCCCAGTTAGAGAAGCCCTGTCCCTCGTCCCCACCAGTCGCGCCTGCGACGCAGGTGGGATCGTGAGCAGGGCCTCTCCAGATGATCGGAGGGAACGTGCGGGTTCGTAAATGGATATGTGGTCATGCAGGTAGGCAGGTCCCAAACCGTTTAGGGCTTTGTAGGTAAGCACCTGCACCTTGAATTGGGACCGGAATATACACTTATACATTTAAATTATATACATATATATATATATATATATATATACACACACCCACACATACACAATTAAGAATAAGTGTTATTTATCTTTATAAGTGTTATTCAAACTACAGGAGAGGAGATTCCATCTGAACATGAGGAAGAACTTCCTGACTGTGAGAGCCGTTCAGCAGTGGAACTCTCTGCCCTGGAGTGTGGTGGAGGCTCCTTCTATGGAAGCTTTTAAACAGAGGTTGGATGGCCATCTGTCAGGGGTGCTTTGAATGCAATATTCCTGCTTCTTGGCAGAAAGAGGTTGGACTGGATGGCCCATGAGGTCTCTTCCAACTCTATGATTCTGCAAAGATGTTTAGAGTGGCTTGTAGGTCTTCTTCTGAATGCGCACAGACGACGTTGTCATCAGCATACTGGAGTTCTAGAACAGTGGATGACCCATGAGGTCTCTTCCAACTCTATGATTCTGCAAAGGTGTTTAGAGTGGCTTGTAGATCTTCTTCTGAATGTGCACATACGACGTTGTCATCAGCATACTGGAGTTCTATAACAGATGATGTTTCAACCTTAGTTTTGGCTTTGTCTGCTGAGGTTAAACAGCTTGCCATCTGTCTGAGGTGTTATTCCATCCAAAAACATAGATTTGTAAAGCTTTGGATGGTATAGGGAAGGGTTGACATTTTTGTGGTGTTTGTTTTGCTCTTTGTTTTGTGGGAGTCGTAATTCCAAACACCTGGAGGGCCCAAGTTGGCCCAGGCCTAGTGTAAAGTAGTAGGCCTAGTGTAAAGTAGTAGGCCTAGTGTAAAGTAGTAGGCCTCATTCCAGACAGATAGGCTGAGAAAGAGGGTTTTCTCATTCATAGGGTGGTCTTCAGTCCAACCCAACTGGAAGGCCATCAACAACAACAATAAACAAGCATGCCAACACCCTCTGGGTCTCCATCCTGCCCCTCCCTCACCTGACCAAGAGCTCCAGGAAGACCACGTTGCTACAGCAACCGCCGAAAACCAGCCCCGCGGCCAGGCCGGGATGCATCCTCTCTCGCTCAGGACCCGGATGAGAGGAATGAGCTGGA